ATCTGACATACGGGTGAAAAAAAATACAATTTGATTTCACTAATCAAGAAATTGTGGTTCAAGGACATCCGCAAAAAAGCAGAAAGTTGGAGGCAAAGGGTTAGATTCCACAGGTTACACACACAAATGCAGACATACCTCTTCTCTTGAAGGGTAGCTGAACGACACATCTACAAACTCGATATGACCTGTCAGTCTCTGCAGTCTCGTTCCTGCAGTACACAGTTTATAAGATATAATAAAAATACATTACATGGTAGAGCGTAGCAATCTCTATGACTCTAGGTAGAAAGTCCAAAGTGATGTACTCTCTAGGTGGTTCATCCTGGAAGAGGTTTGACTCTAAGAGTTATATCAACTGATAACAGCCTAACTCAACCTCTCATTAATCTCATAAATGGTCAACATGTTTCTAAAATATAGTGCTCTTTGCCGAAAAATTGAAACTTGCCTTTTGTTATAAATTGATCACTTGGCTTGAGATCCATCATTTGGAAGACCTTTTCACTTGCTCCAACTGATTGCATCAAAGACGATAAATTATCTCCCACCCACCATGTAGCATAGATTAACCACTCACTATACAACAGAAACTTTGTCAGCTGCTCTGCTGTTATTTGACCGGCTATGATAGATATTCCTCCAATCAAGACAGCAATAATCTATAAAAGAAACAAATGATGGATGTCATATCTTAGCATGAGCATCACCATCTCTAACCACATATTTAATTAATCCTCCCCAAGTAAAAAGCGAGAACTTAAGCAAAAGGTTATATTTGGGGAACCTGAGTTGCGTGGTAAAGAGTGTTGAAGCTCCAGTTCCAAATACCATATGCAGCACTCTGTCTCAAACTTACATCCGCCATTTTTTGAAGCCAGTAATTGTACCTTTCCACCACAGAAGGGGAGAAAATCCATGTCAAAAAGTAACTTGGCTGTGACAGAACCTGTTCTTGAAACAATTTGGGCCGATATAGCAAAATTTCACCAGAAAAATCAAGAAATGGAGAGACTTTCAGGGGGTTTCATGGACTCAGATTGCACCTTTTAAGCTCTTGCTTCTCTGTCCCATATACACGAACAGTTCTCATCAAAGAGTATGTCTCTTGAGCAACCTTGGAGATCAGAGAGAAGTTAAAAGCGAAAAAACTCATTGCATCAAAGACACATGTTAAGATAAAAGTTCTTAAACAACTTACTTCATTTGCAGAAGCTGTGATCTCCTGAATTAGCTTCGCTGTCTTCTTTTGGTACCTACAAGATGACCATATGTAACTTTTACTTTCCGCCGCCCTCATTCATAAGAACACTAGCCTTAAGTACCATTTGCAGCTGCCCAGGTGTATTATCTATTACTTTACAGATTAATTATCTTAATCAAAACTGGTAGAAAAGTAATGGCAGAATCTCACATCCCATAAACGAACATAACTGCTGCCAAAGTGCAGCAAATCACCAATGTGCACACCCCAAGGGGCCAAGACAGGATCAGCAAATAAATCAATGCCCCTGTACCCTAAAAGAAAGAAGGTAAACGTACATATAGATGTCAATCATGCACGAAATACACTTCAGGCGAGATGGCATATCTCATTCATATTTTTTTTAGCAAAAGACCTGAAGAACATTGCGACATATCATGTTCAGATCATTTCCGATGACTCTCGATACTTGCTGACAGTCAGATCCAAGTCTGCTTGTTAAGTCACCAACAGTTTGAGAGTCGAAAAAAGATATTTCCTGATGCAGAATCCAGCCAAGTTAGCGAGAGTAATTAAAGGTAAACATGAGCTACCAAGATTCGTTAATGACGCCACAGCTAGAAACTTTCAGGACCTGAAGGAGAAGAGTGGAGTAAAGTGTTTCCCTCATCCGTTTCACCTACAGAGTAGGATGAGACCTCATCATATCATGTTCTGAGAAGGAAAAACACCTGTGTGGATCGAAACCACAAAAAAAGTAAGGAAAATTCCTGGGAAGTAAACTCACAAGTATCATGTTTGCAATCCCAAAGAAGCATCCTCGTATGCCACTGGAATTATGAGTTGAACAAAGAGTTAGGTGAGGAGCTCCACAATATCAATAGCAAGTTTCGAAAAAATTCATTAAAAAATCTCAAAAAAGAGAAAGTTGGTCAGACAGCAAGAGTAACCCTCTGATTCAACTTCAAATATGAAAACCAGGGACAAGCGTTTGACCATACAAGATCTTGACCTGCAAATGCCTGAAGTAACACATAGCAGAACCAATAGCTTGACATTCCGATGAAACACAGTGATATCACCACTTTGCGCCGAGAATATCGAAGCTGTTAAGAAATGTGGAATTGATATCTCTGAAAGCTGAAACATGTAGAGAAAACAAAACATAAGATTCTGATTCTGATTCTTAATACAACAACTAGCCCTGTAGCTTTCTTATCTTTACTACGCTTAACACAGTTCTAATTCCGCAAGAATCAATTCCAAGTTGCAACGAAGCAACAATACTCATATAATATCAAACTAGAACACTATCCATAACAGGAGTTCGATACTCATATAATAACGAAATGAAGGGATAACCCACTCACCGCAGCTACGATAAGAGTCGAAAACGCAGCGAAGATAACCCAGCGATCCTCAGCCACAAGTTCCCACATCCGACTCAAAGCACGCCAAACAGTCACCGGCTTCGCCATGAACCTACTATCAACCTCCTCCGAGAAACTCCACCAGCTTCCTCCTGGAAATATAGTTCGGAGGAAACCAATACATTGCCGAATCCTCTCGGGAATGGAAACGTTGTCTCCTTCTCCTTCATAATACTCCGCACTTTCCACTGCTGCTCCATTCACCGTCGAGCAATCAATCGAACACAACCGATGATTTCTAGTAGAAGATTGGAGAGAAAATAACGATTTCGGTTCTCGAACGAACCGGAGATTCTTCCTTCTGATGTCACTGGTGGAGATTACAGAACACCGCCGGTGAACGGAAACGCGAATTGGTCGGCTCGTACATCCGAGTACCTGCAGAGCCATGAATCCGCGTCGTGGTCGGTGGAGTAAGACGAAGAAGAAGAAACCTTTCCTTGGCTCATATGAAACGCGTCGTTACGAAAATCGAAGAAGAAGACGTAAACGTAAGGAAGAGAGCTCTGTGTCCAACAATCTACAAGGGTGGGACCCACCGCGATCCACCACCGAGTTCGTGAGCCACAACACCGGCGCGTGAGGAAGGCGCGTGGACGTTCTAAACATGTGGTAAAGGCAGTTTTCTCAAAATGTGATATTCTAATTGGGCCTTTTCGTATATTAAGCCCAATAAGATATACTGCAAACCCTAGGAGAAGTGAAGTCGTCTTTATAAATCAGTGCTTTCTTCAGAAACCCTAGCCGCACC